CCCCAAAACCCCAAAACCCCAAAACCCCAAAACCCCTTTTTGCAACCCAGAGATTGAAAATAAAGTTAATTGGATATTATTAATTGGATAAAGCGTGGTAATTGATTTGTAATTTTCAAGTGTATTTTTGATAACAAATACTATCTGTCGCTTCTATACAACAACATAATGAGCACGACGAGTATTATTAGCATATCCACTGATTCTGCAAAAGGGAGTCAACAGATAAAGGTAAGAATAACCAGCTAAATCTTGATAGGTTCTGCGACCTGGCAATAACCTGCTGAGGTTTAAAGATTTGAGTGAAGTAATGAATACCTCCCAACTCAAACAGTTTACTGAAGTGCATGGAGATTTCAAAGATGAAGATGTACTCTTGTTTTGGAACGTGATACAAAAGCCTTATAAATCCTTGATTTCTTTGATCTCAAACTTCAAGCTTCCTTTAAAAGTAAGAATATGACCTTTACTCTATAGTTCAAAGATTTCCGAGATGCTGTGTTTGAGAAGGATCTGCAGCCGAACATGAAGGCAGCTCTGTGATCACTTGATCAATTCAGGCTCAAAATTAGTCAAGATTTTGAACTTAAGTTAGATATTGAGAATGAGAGCCAAGCTATAGCAGACACATGAGCGGACTTCACTTCTGAGGTTACTCAAATAAAACAAAAGCATGAAGGCAAAAAGTATTCCAGCTCTCATGCAAAGAGGAGAATAATCACAGATAGTGAGGAGGAAAGCCAATCTTACAGCAGCAGTACAGGAAGTGAAGATTGCTCGACTGCACCTCAGAGCACAACTAAAAGACAAGACATGCACTTTCTTAAAGAGAACGAAAGCCATCCTGGCAGTTCTCAACATGCATCTAGAGGAAATGTTGTTGACAGCATGAAGAAACTTGGTATCAAAGGAAATTATAAACACTTCCGTGACCTCAAAAATACTTACAAACGGTTCAAGGAAAAATCGAACCCAAATGATGAAATCATAAATGTAAAAGAATGCTGAATCTGATTGCACTCTATTCAAGACAAGATCGCTAAACCTGAAAAGTGAGAGCATCTATTCTGCTACTTCTGCATCAAAAACTGGTGAAATGTGGCGAACAAGTGCCCTCTGTGAAAAATAGAGATCTTAAAAATTATGGTGATACCAAAGGACTCCAGCGAAGAGCCAACAGAAGAAAAGATTGAGCCAATTCAGCAGCTCTATGAACAAGAGCTATCCATTATGGATTTGCTTGAAGATGTTTGCTATGTTTGAAGAACAGCAGAGGATGAAGACCTGCTCCTTATCTGAGATCACTGCAACTCCAAGATCTGACATACTCACTGAGATAACCTAGAAAACATCCCTGAAAATGAGTGGTTCTGTCACTCATGTAGAAATATAGGCGAGGAAGATTTTGATCATTTAGAAGGGAATGATCCTGAGTACGAAGTGAGTGGGATGGAAGCCTCTCGTGGATCCTCTATTCTACAGGAGCAAGAGCGCAGATCTACACGCATCGAAGAGCAAAAGAGAATAGCTTCAACTTCTCCCTTCCAAGATGAGGCAAGAGGGCTTTACTTAGATTTTGAACTTGGACTACTTGACAATGATTGCTTGATGACCAATATCGGATCCTCAGCAGGCAAGAAGAAGAGGAGGAGAAGAAGACGTAAAAGGAACAAGAATGACAAAAGAAGGAGAGAAAGAAGAAAAGAGAGTCAGAAGTCAAAGAAGATTGATGAAGATGATGAGGAGTTTATCGTCAATGAAGCTAGTAAAAACTATTCTGACTATCCAGACACTGAATGAGGTAGCACTGAGCCTCACCAATCACCTAAGAAATATGACACAAGAATTCTTGAAAAGAAAGTTGATTATGCTGAATTTTCAGATGCTGATTTTGATACAGTCAATGAAACATCCCTTCAAAAGAACCGATCTCTAGGGAATGAGCTTGATAATATTGAAACAATCCCAGAAGTACTTTCAAAGAAAAGAGACTGTAAATACAACAGAAGGCGAATTATTTCCGATGATGAAGATGATGACAAATGTTCAAGGTCCCAAAAATTTGATGCTAGTGATCATATGTCAACAAATGAAGGATCAGGAGATGATGAAGATCACAAAAATGTTCTCCATGACAATGACTCTCCTCAGAAATTTAATGTGAACACTCAGCCAAGTTCTGAGGATGATCAGTGTGAAAATTCTGAGACGATTTTATCTGTAAAATTGCACATAGTTAAGAGATCAAAATGACGCACTAGAGTGATTTCAGACACTGAGAGTGATGATTCGTTCTATGAGGTAACCTTGGATCCTGATGATCAGCGAGGTGAAAAAAATCAGCTCCATCAGCCTATAGAGAAAGAATCAGATGACTCTATGATAGTCAAGACGGTATCAAAGCAATGAGCTAATAGAAGGCGACGGATTGTCGAATAACTTCAAACTTTTTGAATAATTTTTTAACTCATTCTATTTTCTTCATAAAAATTGGGGTTTTGGGGTTTTGGGGTTTTGGGG